GAACATGTATAAGTGTGTTCAAAAAACCTACAGCTATTCCATCATGCTAGAGTTGAGATAAAGCAGTTCCCTCCTATTGAGAAATGGGTCAGCATCCCAACAGTATCACCTACCTTACATGTGGAAATGTATGGACAAGTATCATTCACATATTGATGGGATCAAATCCTATGCTGCCAAATTATCTAAGGTCTGAAATACCACACATAACAGGGTCTCTTCTCCTCTCCTCCCTTACCAACATTAATTGGAACTATTTGTAGGAGGTTCAATGCAAAACCAATTCCTTCTTTCTAATCCCAACAGTTGGTCCAAAAGGATGCCATGGTTGGTGGTATCAAAAACAACCAAGAGATCCTTGTAAGGCTTTTATATTTTATATATCTTCCCTATTGCTATCACACTATTGCTATTGTTATGGTGTACTTAAGTGTATAGATTCTCTCTATTTTGAATAATGTGCAGTTAGGCCGATGCTGTGCAACGCCAGGTCTGTGGTTAATAAGGCCCCCTCATCTGCGAGTTAATTCAGGAGGGGGGAGCGGACCTGGCGGGTATTACAGAGACCTGGCTGGGCCAAGGGGAGGGGTCCCCCTTGTAGAAATGTGCCCACCAGGCTTCCGAGCATTTCATCAGCCGAGGGCCCAGGGCAGGGGTGGGGTGGGGGGTGGCGGTTGTCATTAAGGAAAGTCTTGATCCGAGGGAGACCACTGTACCACAGATAGCCGGATGTGAGCCTGTCCTGGTGAAGTGGGGCCATGGGATGCAGATGGGCCTGCTGATCACGTATCTGGCTACCTGCCACGTGACAGTGGCCCTGCCCAAGCTTCACAACGTTATTGCCGGAGTGGCGGTTGATATCCCCAGACTGGTGGTCATGGGGGACTTCAAACTGCCGTCGGCCGGTGAGGCATCTGAGGTGGCCCAGGAGTTCATGGCTTCCATGACGGCCTTGGACCTGACACAACTAATTCATGGCCCTACTCACACGGGAGGACACACTCTGGACTTAATTTTTGTCTCTGGTCAGTGGTTGAATGGCCAGGTTATAGGGGACATAGCTATTGAGCCCCTGTCATGGTCTGACCATTCTCTCCTGAGGCTGGACTTTCTGACCACTGCACCCCACCGCAGGGAGGTGGAACCAATTAGGTGGTTCCGCCCCAGGCACCTGATGGATCCGGAGAGATTCCAGAGGGAGCTTGGGCCATTTCCTGAGGCTTTGGCTCACGACTCGACTGAAGATCTGGTGGACGCCTGGGATAGGACGGCCGCCGGGGCTTTGGATCGTGTCGTGCTTTTGCAGCGTCTGATCCAGCGTCGCACCTGCCCAGCTCCTTGGTTCATCGAGGAGCTGAGGGGAATGAAACGCCAGAAAAGACGCCTAGAGAGTGGTTGGAGGGCCAGTCGCTCTGAATCTGATCGAACACTAATTAGGTCTCATATTAAGACCTATTTAGTGGCGATAAAAGCGGCAAAGTGTGATTACTTTTCCACTCTTATTGCATCGGCAGATAATCGCCCAGCCGCCTTGTTTAGAGTGACCCGCTCCCTCCTACATCAGGGAGCGCGGGAGGACCCCTTGCAAGGGCAGGCTGAGGATTTTGCACAGTATCTGCATGATAAAATCACTCAAATTCGGGAAGGCTTGGACTCTGACTGGGTAGATTCTGGCGGGGTGACTGAGGCGGGTCTTGAGAATGTTATCTGGGACGAATTTGATCCTGTGACTCCTGAGGACATGGACAGGATTCTGTGGAGGTTAAATGCAACCACATGTTTACTGGACCCGTGTCCCTCCTGGCTGGTACTGGCTACCCGGGAGGTTACGCGAGGCTGGCTCCAGAGGATTATAAATGCTTGTTTGAGGGAAGGTTTCCTGCTGCCTGCTTTGAAAGAGGCGGTGGTGAGGCCCCTCCTTAAGAAGCCTTCTCTGGATCCAGCTGTTATGGCTAACTACCGTCCTGTCTCCAACCTTCGCTTTATTGCGAAGGTTGTTGAGAGTGTGGTTGCACAACAGCTCCCACAGTACCTGGATGAAACCATCTATCTAGACCCGTGCCAGTCCAGCTTCAGGCCTGGGTCCAGCATGGAAACGGCATTGGTCGCGTTGGTTGATGATCTCTGGAGGGCTCGGGACAGGGGTTGCTCCTCTGTTCTGGTCCTATTAGATCTCTCAGCGGCTTTTGATACCATTGACCATGGTATCATGCTGCATCGGCTGGAGAGATTGGGGGTGGGAGGCACCGTGTTGCGGTGGTTCTCTTCCTATCTCTCCAACCAGTCGCAGTCTGTGTTGGCAGGGGGGCAGAGGTCAACCTCGAGGCGCCTTGTTTGTGGGGTGCCACAAGGGTCGGTCCTCTCGCCACTCCTGTTCAACATTTATGTGAAGCCGCTGGGTGAGATCATCCATGGATTTGGGGTGCGATGCCATCTGTACGCTGATGACACTCAGCTGTACATCTCCACCCCAAACCACCCCAACGATGCCCTTGAAGTGATGACTCAATGTCTGGAGGCCGTACGGGTCTGGATGGGGAGGAACAGGCTTCGACTCAACCCTTCCAAGACCGAGTGGCTGTGGATGCCGGCATCCCGATATAGCCAGCTGGCGCCATCACTGGCTATTGGGGGCGAGTCATTGACTCCCACAGAGGGGGCTCACAACTTGGGCGTCCTCCTGGACACATGGCTGTCTTTAGAAGAGCATATGACGGCCGTGGCCAGGGGGGCTTTTTATCAGGTTCACCTGATACGCCAGTTGCGCCCCTTTCTGAGTTGGGATTCCTTATGCACAGTCACTCATGCTCTCATCACTTCTCGCCTGGACTACGCTAACGCTCTCTACATGGGGCTCCCCTTGAGGCTCCAACTGGTCCAGAATGCAGCTGCGCGGGTGATCACGGGAGCAACATGGCGCTCCCATATAACACCTCTCCCGCGTGAGCTGCACTGGCTCCCAATGGTCTTCCGGGTGCGCTTCAAGGTGTTGGTTCTCACCTTTAAAGCGTTCCATGGCTTAGGGCCAGGGTATTTACGAGACCGCCTTCTGCTACTGATAACCTCCCACCGACCAATACACTCCCACAGAGAGGGCCTCCTCAGGGTACCGTCGGTCAAGCAATGTCAGCTGGCAGCTCCCAGGGGGAAAGCCTTCTCTGTGGGAGCACCCGCCCTCTGGAACGAGCTACCTCCCGGAATACGGCTGATTCCAGATCTCCGCACTTTCCATAGGGCCCTGAAGATGTTTTTATTTCAGCAAGCTGGCCTGGCCTGAATAGGTTTTATGGGTTAGTTTTTTAATTGTATTGCTAGGGGTTTTAAATTGGGGCGGCCATTTAATTTAACTTATTTTTAATTATTTTAACTTTTATATTGTATGTTATTTTAATTTTCGGCTGTTCACCGCCCTGAGTCCCTTCAGGGAGAAGGGCAGGATATAAATTTAATAAATAAATAAATTTTATGTGTGAATGTATCCACAGACATATGCTAGCATATTGAATATGCTTATAATATTTCAGCTCCTATATACAGTAAGCAGATTAATTCAACTCTTTGATTTATATTTATGAAAAAACTACAGATTACAGTTGGAAGCCTGAATATGTGAGTGCTACATGAAATAAGCTTTCTGTGTACAGAAAAAAAAGTGAGTGAGGAAAGATCACCCATGGTAATGTTAATTGCTAATGGTTTTAAATGATACAATCCAAAAAATCCAATTGATTATTGCATCCATAAGTTAGTTTTTATCAAATGTAGCAGCAACAATAAATATAATTCAGAACAGTCTAGGGCTTGTTAGGTTATTGTTTTGGTCTTCAAGGTCTTCACTTCAATTTCAGATCTATTTTTTTACAGTAAGATAGCTACTGTAATATAAGTTAGGAGCAGGGTCTGTCAATCAGTGTATTATTTTGAATCCATACGAGCCCAGTTAATATTAGACATTGCCAGAAGCAAGCTGATGGGAGAGCATATCTCTCATTGATGATATTTGTTTATTTAGAAACTATTTCACTCCATAAGTCAGTGATGGCTAACCTTTTTTGCCATCGCGTGCCAGGAGAGGGGGGTGGGGGAGGGACGTGCGCACACATGCCCACGCGCATGCGCATGCAACACCCGCCCCCCGCTCCAGGCACATGATGGCCTGGTAGGCCTGTTTTTCTTTCTTACCTGGTTCCAGATCCTCTCTATTTATCTGGGAAGGGCGAAAACAGCCTTTCCCACTCCCTTGGAGGCACTATGGAGGCTGAAAGGGCCTATTTCCCAACTCCCGGTGGGAGAGGAAGTGACATTTTTTGCTGTCCCCAGCCTCCAGAACCTCTCTAGGAGTTTCTAGGAGCCTCTCTAGGAGTCTCTAGGAGTCTCTCTAGGAGTCTCTGGAGGCTGGGGCAGCAAAAAACATCACTTCCTGTCCCACCGGGAGTCAGGAAATGGGCCCTTTCAGCCTCCATAGGGCCTCCAAGGGAGTGGGAAAGGTTGTTTTCACCCTTCCCAGATAAATAGAGAGGATTTGGAACCAGGTAAGAAAGAAAAACGGCCATTCCCCCTCCCCCCAGGCCCTCCAGAGACAGGAAACAGCCTGTTTCCCTACTTCTGGTGGGCCCAGAAGGCCCGAAAATCAGCTGGCCAGTGTGCACATGCGCCCCAGAGCTGAGCTGGCGTGCCCACTAATATGGCTCCGCATGCCACCTGTGGCACGCGTGCCATAGGTTCGCCATCACGGCCATAGGTCTTTGATAATATAAAAATGTTGTAACAACAATAAGAAATTTCTAAGCAATAATAGACAATAATGATGTGTATCTTCTCTGTCTCCTTCATCATTAAATGTCTTTTAGAAAAGCTAGGTTTTAAGTCTTCTCCAGATGGCCATGGGGGAGCATTTCTGCTTCCAAGTTAGGCGACGTGTCACCAGGAATACTTGTCTCTGTATCTATCTACATTGTACATCTGATATAATAATTGACTTACAGGTTCATATTACTTACCACACAGCCTTGTGCCACTGAATAAATTAAGATCACAATAAAAATACACAAAATGGTTCTAATTTGTATTGTCAGGCACCCTGGAAAACACTGAAAGACAAAACCAATATATATTCATTTGGAAAATGATTGTCCACACTATTGTTATTGTTGTTATATACACAAAAATGTGAAATCACAGTTGACAGTTCTTTAGGTGAAATTGGCCTTTATATGCATCAAGTTCTTTCCCAAAATCTAGGATGTCATAATGTAGTAGTATGGTATATGTATGAATCTAAACAGAGTGACCTGTTGTAATTGACAGATGGAAATAGTGTCAATGTGCAGATTTTTTAAGTGCCATCCAATATTTTTTGGAATAGCACCCAGTGTGCCAATCACCACTGGGATCACCATGGTTGGTTTATGCCATAATTTTTCAAGTTCAATTTTCAAATCTTTTGTACCAGGTAATCTTTTCCAATTCTCATCCTTTTTGAAAGATGTCATAAAATTAATAATGTCCTGATGCATTTCCTTTACCCCACAAAAAGGAAAAATATTTTATTTCTTATGGTCATAAAACGTAACTCAATTGTATTCTCAGATCATGTTTCAATTATATTAACATCTGACTTCAAAGAAGTTCAGTCAGTTAAAGATGGGAGATATTTTAATACTTCTTTGTCACATGGTAATAATGTTTCTGATTATATTTATTATATTGTATTAAACAACAAAAATGATAATTTTATGAATATAATCAAGATTTTACCAATCTATAGGTAGTATGGAATGCATATAAAGTTTATATGTTATGTGGATGTTCATACCTCATGAAAAGTAAAAGTTTTAGTTACAAACATATGCAATTTTGATTGAAAAATGTTTACTGGCATCCACAAGGAATCACATGCAACAGACTTATAATGCATTCTAAATCTATTTTAGTCCAGATCAGTGGTGGGTTGCCCCCAGTTCGGACCAATTTGCAAGAACCGGTAGTAAAACCGGTGGGAGGTTCCACCCACTGACCTGGATGTCATCAGAAGTGATCTGCACATGTGCAGAAGCTTCTGCGCATGCTCAGAAGAGCGTGAGTGCACTCACTTCACTTGCGCACGCACGATGCAAACCGGTAGTAAAGGTAAATTGAACCCACCCCTGGTCCAGGTGTATTAAAAATTATACAAAGGCTTAATATTGTTATATGTTGAAAAACATATTGCAATTGTTGAAATTAATTGTCTAAAGGAAGTTATTAGATATTGATTTCTGCCTAATTTTGTTAAATAGATTGCATTTTATTATTTTCAACCAATAGCAAGATGAACAGCAAAATAGCTATGGTTGCTAAATGCATTCTCTTAATAAAATAAATAAACTCTTCAAAATTTATATTTTTCACGCAATAAATTGCCCACAACGAATAAGCAACAGGAAGGGTAAAACTTTGAGTATGCTGGTAATAAAGTCACAAGTAAGCTGTTTTTTAAGTTTTAGCCTCATAGTCAAGCCTATTCTTTTCTGCTCCATTTGTTATTGGAAAGAAAGTTCTCTGTCTGGGTGTTTATCTCTAACCACTTTGCAACACAGGTGTTGGCTACCATGAGTTGGCCACCAGAGGCTCTCTCTGCCTTCTCTTTGGTTGAGTGAAAACTGTTAATGAGTACTCAAATTTCAACCACTTTGTAAGGGATATACTGTAGGGCCCTCTCTTGAGGCTTTTCAAAATCTTTCTTGAGTTTTACTGCAGATATTATCTACTTTTCCACATGATTTCCCCAAGTCTTTCCATTTTTTTTTTCTTTTCTATATTATTGTTCCTAACAATAATGATGCTAATAATGCAAAGTGAGCATTCTAACTCCAGAATCAATATATCAACAAAATAATGATTTAAACACAAGTAAGGGTAAGCTAAAGTAATTAATAACAAACTCAGTTTCACAGCAGAAAACTCTTCAAGCATTTATCACTTATTTACTGGAGTGTGATGCAGTCATTATTTCTCTGTGTATCAGAACTGGTACAATTTTTATTTTCACCAATAAAAAATAGATTTAATAAAAGGGTTTTTTTAAAGGAAGTGAAATATAGGATTCATAAAAGCCCTAAATGACATTAGCCATTATACATTAAAAGAGCTATCTACCCATAGACATGAAATATAGAAGAAATAAAATCAAGACTGGAATAATTGATACATATATTTCTTTTTCACAAACGCTTTCACAAAAGTCACTTACTTGTACTCGAGTGACATGTAGATACATGATGCATGCCACCAGGAAGCACATGCAAAATACTAAGAGAACAAGGACTATGGTACTCCTAGGGGGGGAAAACATATTCAAACTAAGTCATTGCACACAAATAAAAGCAAATTCTTAGCAACATTAGTAGAATCTAACTAAATATCAAGGATTTTTCTTTCTTAATACATAAGTTTCTTCATGATGCATTCTAAATTATTCTTTCTCTGTTGTTCATTTTTAGTGGAATTACTTTTTTTGTATATAATTAGAAGAACAATGGTTTTTTGAAAAAAATGTAAAACATGTCCTCTGTGAATAAAGTTAATTATGATTGTTTTCAAGAATAATGTGTTTAGACATAACCCATTGATATGCAGACACTGGTAACACAGAAAAATATTATATAATGTAGTTTCAGAAAACAAGAATGTAGTTAGGCAATAGCGCTTACACTTATATACCACTTCTTAGTACTAGCTTTACAGGCCTCTCTATGCAGCATATTGTTCCCTACAATCTGGGTCCTCATTTTATTGACCTCAGAAGGCTGAGTCATCCGTGAGGATCAAACTCCTGGCAGTGAGCTGAATTAGTCTGCAATTCTGCATTCTAACCAGGGGTGAAATGCTACCGGTTCACTCCAGTTCGAATGAACCGGTAGTGATAAAAACTATCAGTTCAGACAAACCAGTAGTGGGATTCTACCGGTTCGCACTGGTTCGATAGAATCTATTGTTAAGTAGTTAAGCAATTTGGAGAACCAGTTGTTAGAAGAAATCTCCTTTTGTTTTTTTCCACTTTACAGGGTTAATCCTGTAAGGAATTGTTGTTTCCTAGCCTAATCTTTATTGCCCTGCTTACAGAAACTGCCTCTCCATTAACCCTTATTACATTCTTGGCAATATGCCTAGACTTACTGTCGCTTCCGGTTCCGAGCTTCTTGGAGGTGGTTTTTTGTTTTTGTTTTTTGGCTTGACTTTCTTAAAGGGGAAGGGTTGTTTTAAGCTTTTTACACCGCTGTTGGGAAGAAATAATCCCCTGTTGGAGTTCTTCCAGCCAGGGTGCAATGATCAGCACTTTGAAGAAATAATTGAATAACGAAGCAGAAGCTTTTAATGACAAGGAACCAAGATGAGTGACATTCAGCAAGGCTTCTTGGCTAGCTAGAAAGATTGACATTCAAACGTGAATTTACATACCCTTTCTGACTTTTGGTCTAAAACTGGTTTTTGGTGAAGTTTAATTCTGTGCTTGGTGATGTTTAATCCTGTGTTTAGTGTTGGGATAATTTTCTCTATTCAGCTTTGTTTGGAAGGAAAAATGTTAATCTTTGTTCCTGAAAAAAAGCAGCTTTGGAAATTTGACTAGTTCTGTGTCTATTTGTTCTGGTAATTGGTTTAACAAGCAACAGATACTCTGTTTACTCCTTTGCTTCATTCTGGGGAGCTTAAATGACCTCTCTGCTAAAGGGTTTCACTTGGCTGCTGATAGTTATCATTGCATTTTAACTATTTTAATTCCTCAAGGTGCTCTTGCACCCTGCCTGATTTGTAACTCCAGTTTGCTGGTATTTCTAATCTAATGATTGCTATTTAGGGCAGTTTTTTGCAAGCTAAGAAGCTTTTTGTATTTTTGTACAGGTAATCCTTGATTTACAAAAGTTACAATGGCACTGAAAAAAGTGACTTATGACCGTTTTTCACACTTATGAACATTGCAGCAAACTGTCATTAGGACAAAGAAGCAATGCCACATTACCACCTGGCCATGCCCATCCGGTCACATGAAGCACCGCAGTTGTGAAATGAGTGACACGGTTGTTAAGAATGCTGCAATGAGTATAAATGTTGACCAGTCAAAAGTGCACGGACCTGTCAGAAATCACTTTTTTTCAGCCCTCTAGGTAGTCCCTATGTGCATATGGACTACTCAGAGGGCTGAAAAAGTTATTTTTGACCGGTCCTTGCACTTATGACTGTCCTTACATTTTACGTTTTGTGCCCTATCTTGTCACTGTAGTGAAAAGAAGCAGTTGTGAAATGAGTGACATAGTTGTTAAAAATGCTGCAACAGGCATAAATGTGAGGATGGTCATAAGTGTGAGGACAGGTCAAAAGTGCGAGGACCAGTCAGAAAAGACTTTTTTCAGCCCTCTGAGTAGTCCCTATGCACATAGCCATGCCCACCCAGTCACATGACCACCAAGCCACATCCCCAAATAAGCCACACCCCACAGAACTGGTTGTTAAAAAAATTGAATCCCACCACTGGGGCAAATGGTAGTTTAAAAAAGCTACCGGTTCCTCTGAACCAGTATTTCTGATGATCAGCTGTGCAGCGGGGTTTAGCTTTGCTAGAAAGCAGGAAATCCTGTTTTCTAGCAAAGCTAAATCACCCGCCACAGCTGATATCCCCCCTTGCTGTTCTACTTACCTTCCCTAGCCTCCTTTTAGTGCATACTGCGCATGCATGTGCGCGCAGCACACACCAAAAGGAGGCTTGGGAAGGTAAGTAGAACAGCAGGAGGAATCAGCTGTGCAGCGCAGTTTAACTTTTCTAGAAAGCAGAAGATCCTGCTTTCTAATGAAGCCAAATTGCGTGCCACAGCTGCTCCCCACTTTGCTTCTACTTACCTTCCCTTCTCCCTTTGCCCCGTAGTGTGCATGTGCACACATGCACAGAGTGTGCATTTGGTGCACACCATGCATATGCACACAGCATGTGTTTCGTGCATAGTGCGTATGCGCAGCCAACGAACTGGCTGCAAACCAGTTCGGATTTTTCCACTGATTCTAACCACTGCGCCACCCTGGCTACTAGCACCATGGGTGAAGTCCTAAACGGGTCCTAAAGAGCTGAATTGTTATATCTCCTTCCCACAATGGCTAGGGGCATATTATCATTGGTTTCATTACTGACCTACCACATGTCAAGGCCCCAAGTACTGTTCTAGTGATAGTTTATCTTCTTTCTAAAATGGCTTATTTCATTCTCTGTCATAGATTCTTTTAATTCTGCTCCTCAAACACCTTATCTCTTTTCTTAAAATAATACATTGCCTAATTTTCTCATTCCTGATAGAGGCAGGAAACTCAGAGCATGTGTATGGAAAGGTGTATTTCACTTATTAGATATAAAACTCCACCTGTCCTATGATCAACACCCAGAGTCAGATACATAGTGAATTAATATCTTCTCAGAGCACTATTCTATTTCTATTGTACACGTATATTTTCCCTATGGCAGAATTTGCTTATAACAGCTTCAGACTATCTACAGTTCTCTACAGTCAAATAAATCTTGGTCCTCCCCTATTCCAAAGACTTCAATTTTTTCAAAAACTGCAAATTGCTTGGCACCCCCTTAAGGAGGAACTGTATTCTGCCAAACATCCTAGAAATATTTTGCCGAATTGTCATTGTCAGGAACCCCTCCCCACCCCATTCTTCGCTGTTGGAGATTTAGGTCTTTAGGTGAGATTTTTCTATTCCACATCAATATCTAAGAAGCTAAATAGAAGTTCATTGGATTATTTCCCTAAAACCTTTCAAGTTCTTGAAGTTATCCTACTACAACCAAAAGTGAGATTCTTCCAGAATTCTTTCCACATTATTTATTAAACTAAGATAGGATAAGGTTACAGAAGTTGCACTGCTTTCCATTTAGAATCCAGTTCATCTCCCCAAACCCCAGGATATTTTCAATCTTTTATTAATGGTCCTTATGTGAATTTGTAAGAAGACAATTAATTTTATTATTAAAGGAGGAATGTCTTGGCAAGTTATCTTGGGTCAGGGGTGAAATGCTCCCAGTTCGGACCGGCTCAGGCGAGTAGTAGCGATGGCGGTGGGCAGTTCGGAGAACCGGTAGCAAAAATCCCTGCCCCCGCCCCCCATGCCTAGCTGAACCGCGCGATCATCAGAGCCTTTTTTTTCTTTTAAATGGCTCTGGTGATCCAAGCTCTGACGATCTCAGCTGAGTTGCCTGCTAATCGGTAGCAAAAATCCCTCCCCCTCCCCACCTCAGCTTGCTTACTTTAGCTGCTGATCACAATGCCTTGCTGTAATCCCCGCAATCCATTGCATCAGCAAGCAACTGAATCTCTCTGCCTGCAATCAAGGAGGCAGGGAGTTGTGGACTTCAACTCCCAGAATTCCTCAGCCAGCAAAGCAAAGCTGGCTAAGGAATTCTGGGAGTTGAAGTCTACAAGTCTTAAAGTTGCCAAGGTTGGAGACCCCTGTTCTATTGGGTAAGTTTTTTCCCCCTTTGGGAGCTTAATTGGGTTTTTTTTTAGTTGTTCTTTTTTTAGACCTGGCCATTTAAAGTTTAGGAAGTTTTAAATTTAGCTGCTTTTATATAAAAATAAATAAAAATAAAATAATATTTGTGCAGCTTTCTGAGATTTAGTGTGTTTCTGTAGTGTTTCACTCTAACTACACAAACACAAAAAATCTCACAAAGCTCTATGTGGAATTTTGTGTGTGTAAAGTGTGAAAGTTGGTTTTTTGGGCTTTTTGTGGCTGTGTGAGGTTCCTGCTTATTGCAGGGGCCATTTTGGATCTAGCACAGCTGCTTTTATATTGTGGGTAAGCCAGTTGTGTTGTGTTGTGTTTTGTAGGTTAAAAAAGGGCAAAGAAGTGACATTGACTTGGCCACGCCCACCTGACCAAAAAACCACTCCCTCCCAGTCACTTTACCACCAAGTCACACCCACTAATTAAGCCACGCAGAACCGGTAGCAAAAATTTTTAGATTTTACCCCTGTCTTGGGTCCAAAATTACATATAAAAATATGATTGGATAACAATTCCTGAGTATCTCACAAAATGGGAGTTATATCAAATAAATGATAGATACTTAAGATAGGATGAGCTAGAAATAAAACTAATAGGAGGCAACAAGGAGAAGTTAAATATCTTCTTGAGTACATTGGTAATATGAAAGAAAAAGAAATGCTGGTTGTTATAATCAGCTTTTCTTGTTCTGCTATATCCTGCAACAATTCTACAATACCCTTTCCAAGAATGTATGCTTTTTATAGTGGTTAGAACCTTCATTTTGTGGAATTAAGTTAGCTGGGTAGCTGCATTTTCACAAATTGACATAGCTGTAATAATAGATTACAGTTCTCCCAAGGGCAGTCTTTGATGATATTTATGTATATTATCTATTGTCTTTGCCTTCTATTTCCTTCATTCTGCCAATCATCAATTTGTTCCTAATGGCTTTATCAATATTAACTGTACCTAAATAAATTATATCTGATTTAATAGTGTGATTCTTTTACATATACACTAAACAAAACAAACTATGTACAGTAGTTTGCTTTCTTATTTTTTGATTTATTTTTCTGGAATAAATTAGTTTCATAAAGCATTAACTTAATTTATTTTAGGAAGCCCTTAGCACAGCGTGGAAGCATTTCTTTCGAACTGAGGTAAGTCATTAACCATTCTTTCTGTCAGAAAGAAGCCATAATCATCATATATAGTTAGGACTTTCAGTTTGCATTGTTTGATGGATGAATTTAACGATGTTGAATTTCAGATGCTTTTATATTTCAGTAGAAAGAAATAGATTAAATAATACTACATCTTTTAAACAAACAAAGAAAAAATAGCCTGTGGATGAATATCTGCTAACTCTCCCCTGAAACAAATATTTAAAAAACTTCTATGACCTATTCTTTTCCCGAAAGAAAAGAATCCCTGATCTCAGTCTGAATTAGGACATCATATGGTTGTACTAGAAGGAAAAATAGTAAATAAGACATTATGGTATACAATTTATATATATAATCTGTTTAACCCTTGGATTTTCTTTACACTGATTTTATGATGCACTGAATCCTTGGCTCTTAAATTTCCATTAGCATTAGAAAAGCCATGAATGCAGATATTGCTCTGTTAAACTTTCCTAGTTCCAAGATGAAAATAGGAACAAAGCAAATTTGCTTCTTATTATGTAGAATGTAGAATGTAGAAATGTCTATTTTATTACTTCCTACAATATTTGTTTTTCCACAAGCAATCCACTTCATTAGCTTTGTTCCCAATAACTTCAGTTAAAGAGCAATGGAAAATTTTCAAAGCTCAAAGAAATTAATTGAGGGTTTTTTAGTATGTTGGATAGAATTTAAGAATTACGCACTTTTAATGAATACAAAGCACATTCAAAATACTTATATAGCAGTATAAATGTACTTGGCATTTAAATTATTGGAAACAAAATAACTTACTGTGGTATTATTAAAAGGTAGACAAGGCCAAATAAGGCAGCTAGAATCAGTGACAATACTACAGCACTGGTGAAATATTCATCCTGAAGTTGGTGATACTGTAAATGAAAGAGGGGAAGGAGAGAGACGAATTTAGTTAGCCATTTGCTTTGCGTTTTGTGATTCTGAAGATAATTGTGCTAAAAATGAAGTACAAAAAGTGATTTAAAATCCTGAAGTTTGCCAGTTCCATATTTCTTTTTAAATATTTATAGTTAGCCCAAATTTGGAAAAAATAATCTTCTTCTAAGCTTCAGAATACTTTGCAAATCAGAATAAGTCTTTACATCACTCCTTATCTTGGAATCAAGGAAAGAAGGGGAAAAAATCCCAGATAAATGTGTGCTATCCTTGAAAGTATGTTGTGTGCTATTCAGAAAACAGCAAAGGCAAGGGTTAGCCTCTTTACACCTCAGGCTGGGAAGGAAAGGTGGAATGCCATCTCTGCAGTTATCTCAGGTCTCAAAAGTGCTATAACATAGCAGCCTTCATTTCCATCCAAAGCTCACATGATTTTTTATTGTTTCATTATATTGGATGTATTAATATTTTATTAACTGTCATTAATAATCTTCCTTTAGGAGCAGACTTCTCTAACTACAGTTATCCACAATGATTTCAGAGAACTTCCACAAAGCTAGGATTTATACATTTTTAAATAGGTTAGATATTATAATTCATTCAAAGCTACTCAAAAAGACAGTTGAATAAAGGTACAATAATTCTAAGAAAGAAATGATCCACAAGAAATAACTCAGTGGAGAAGACAAATTCATTTCTGAGACTAGGAGAAAAAGTTCAGCATGAAGAAGATTACTTGCATTTACAAGAAAGTTCTCTGGTTTCTTAATGAAATCATGAAAAATATTGACATCCTTTCCCCAAAAGAAAATATTTTTTTTTCTTGGTGAAACTGTTTATCTAGGATGAAGCCAACCCTACTTTATCACAAGCTGTGTTTTTGCTTATCACTGCAATTTGTTTGTTAAACATTGTTTCTTACAAAATACACAAATACTATATAATTAATTTTGAATCAAAGCCAGTCCCAACAAACAACATCACAACTTAGTAGTAGTAGCTAGTAAAAACAAAAATGATTAAACAGTTGTAGGGGAAACTGCCAAATATTAACTGAATAAAGAAAAAAGAGTACGCATTTGTTGTGTGTTGGTCTTCTCCAGAAAAAAATTTGAAATATGAACTAAGCTCTGCTCCATATATATATATATATATATATATATATATATATATATATATATATATATATGGAGACTTTTGATCTAAAATTATGAAAAGGTTACAATATCCTGACAATTTAAGGGAGAAATTAGGGTCCTAGGCAAAACAACAACTATCTGATATCGCAAAGGTACATTTTATTTGCCTTGCCCTTACATGTAAAGAAAGAAGGAAGAGGCTCTAGAGATAGCAAATACAAAGGTTCCTTTTTCTCATTGCTGTAACACCAAGGCAAGATTTATTATCTTACCTAACTTGGAACTTTACCACAATGAATTAAAGCCACAGTGATGAAATAATAATTCTGTGACGAATAAAGCCAATCCTTTCCTGAAAGTACATTCTTCATTTTTGTTCCTTTCATCTGAAGAACGCTGTGCAAAATATCTGAAGGACCTCAGATCTGGAAGGCTAAATCTTGCATTTACAAAAAGATGCAACCACGTTTGAGGTATATAGAGGAAGGAAAGATACTTCAAACATGGAAAGAAGCCAATATTTTCTTGCTGCTGAAGGAACATCAAGATGTTATAAAGACAAAGAATTACAGACCAATTTTATTATTAAACAAGGACTATAATCTCTTTGCTGCGGTTTTGGTAGAAAGACTAAAGAAGATTTTACAGGTATATTCATGAAGACCAATCTGGCTTTTTGTCAAAAATACGAATAAGGGGTAATGTGAGAACTGTTTTGAATATTATTGAATATTTACAATATCATAATGAGAAACAGCCACCTCTAATATTCTTAGAAGCAGAGAAGGCCTTTGACAATATAAATTGGGCTTTTATGTTTAAAGTGCTGGAAGAAATGGACTTTAGAGAGAACTTTATTTGACGGGTCAAAGCTGTTTATATGTCAGAGCGAGCAAAAATTGTTATCAATGGTGATTTAACTAATTCATGTGAAATTCGAAAGGATACGAGACAAGGATACCCCCATCTCCTTTGTTGTTTATTTTGTTGCTGGAAGTTTTGAATAGAGATATCAGGCAAGATGAAAAAATAACAGGTATAAGCAGTGATGGGATTCACCTCGTTCACACCACTTCGGGAGAACCGGTTGTTAACTTTCTGAGCAGTTTGGCAAACTGGTTGTTGGAAGAAATCATTAGGGCAGAGAACCAGTAGTTAAATTACTTGAATCCCATCACTGGGTATAAGTATCAAGAAAGAAGTTTATAAATTGAGAGCATTTGCTGATGATTTGATTATAGTCCTGCAAGACTCAAAAAACAATATAAAATATTTGATGAGGAAATTAAATGAGTTTGAGGCTATAGAAGGTTTTAAAATAAACAAACAGAAAACAACAATGCTGATTAAGAATATGTCATCTCACGACTGTGATATATTGACTAAAAAGTATGATTTAAGGCTCAGGAAAAAGGTGAAATATTTGGAAGTTATTTTGACAAACACAAAGACAAAACTGTTTCAGGAATGCCTCTCTGGAATGATATTAAAAAGATTTACTAAGATGGGACAAATTGCATTTATCACTATTGGGTAGAATTTCTGTTATTAAGATGAATGTCTTACCAAATATGCTTTTACTGTTTCAGACATTACCAATACTTGCCACTGACATTCCATTTAAACAATGGCAGAAGTATATTTTCAAGTTTAAATGGCAAGGAAAAAGCCCCAAGAATTAGATATAAACTATTGCAAGATGCTAAAGAAAGAGGGAGTTTGAGTTTACCAGATTTGAAACTGTATTTCGATGCTTGTTATTTGGTCTGGCTAAAGGAGTGGGTAAACCTCCAGAATAAGAGGCTACTTGATTTAGAAGGTCATGAATTAAGGTTTGAATGGCACGGTTATTTATGGTATGACGAAGTTAAAGTAAATGTTGATTTTAACAACCACTTTGTTAGACATGCCATTCTAAGAATTTGGAATAAATATAAAACAAGGTTTTCTACAAAGATGCCTCTTTGGGTGTCCCCTCAGGAAGTCTTTTTCAGAAAAGAAATGGTGGCAAAGCTGGACTGATAAAATAATATCTTTTAATTTTGATGATCCTACCCTCGTCTAAGGAAGAGTTAGAATCAGAATGACATGTCTGCCATTGGTTTACATATTTACAATTGAAAGGAAAATTTAAATTAGATAAAAAGAGTTATAGGTTTGACTTTGTTAAAAATGAACTGGAAATCTTACTGTGTGGTAGTGATGAACATATTATTGCTAAGATTTATGAACTGTCATTGAAATTAAATCTGAAAAGTGAACATGTAAAGCATTTTATGATTCAGTGGCAAGAAATTTTGGATATAATGTTATGCTTGAACAATGGGAGAATATGTGGACAAAAGGTTTAAAATTTACATTAAATTACAATTTAAAAGAAAATTTCTATGATATATTGCTGGCATTTAACACCAGACAAGTTATTCAGAATGTATAAAGGTATTTCAATTGAATGTTGGAAATGTAAATGTAAGGAAGAGATCTTTTATCATTTATGGTGGACATGTGTTAAAGCAAGGAAATATTGGAGTAAGATTCATATTCTAATACAGAAAATTCTTAAAGTGAATGTAAAGATAAAACCAGAACTTTTTCTTTGGAAAAAGACTTGGGAAAAAAATTGGAACTTTGATGTATATGATATATATGTTGATGGCAGCAAGACTACTTTATGCAAGCAAATGGAAGGACATTTTGATCCCCACAATCTATTTAACATGGGGGGGGGGGGAATCCCATAAGTACTTTTGTTTCTATTTGGAACTGCTTGGACTTAGTGCCTGAGGTGGGGAAAAATGAAGCTTTGATTTTGGGTTTTACTGATTAGATAGGGTTTTTTTTTGTTGTTATAGAAATGGCTAGTTTATACTACTATGTAAAAGTAAAAAGTTGATGTTTGATTTTACTTTTTTATTCTAGTGCACTAGAGAGAGTCGGAAGTCAATGTCTTTTTTCCTTTTTTCCTTCTTTTCTACACTTCTCCCTTCCCTCCCTTATTTTTCCTACTATTTGATTTTGTATTTTATATTATAAACTAATAAAAACTGTAAACACACAAAAAGATGCAACCAATCTTTAAGAAAAGTCTCACCTACCTTTTGCTCACGTTCTATCTGCTTATACCTTAGAGTAAAAAAGTTTAGATCTGCCATTTCTGATTCAGTTTGCCGAGCCTCTATTAAGCGGCTGATATACCGGTTAACTCGGGTTCCAGGAGTGTTATATACAACATTTGTAGAAAAAGAGGAACGATTCCTGAGTTTTTCAGAGGCTGTCCTTAATGCCCTTCTCTGTGGCAAAAATTAAAAATAAAAGGTGAGCGATAAGACTAACAATATAGTTGAAAGATTAAACCACACTGTATTCTAGCATTAAATGGAGTAAAAAATCTCTGCCTTGTAAAAAATCTATAAACTTACAAAAAAATATAGCAGTAGCAGCCAATATTTAGTGTCAGCCCTCAGACTGATTAATATCCTATGCCATAAACTTGTGAAATGTGAAAAAAATGTAATTTATTACCTAGTTTTATTAGCTATTTTGAATTTTTCCATCATGACTTTATTATTTTTTTTTTTTAAATGTCCGTAGGGACATACATTCTTAATATATTTTTTCAAACTATTACAGAAATGGTAATGGAGAATTTTTATATGGAAAGTGTGCTTCACAGCATCGCCAAGAATCATGTTGGGAAACTGAAGCTCTTGTAACAGTTGTAATTTCTTCATGTAAATAACAATCTCAATTATGTTCAAAGATACATTGGTTCCTTTGTTATAAAACATCGATTCAGCCTAATTCTGATCATTTTGGAAACCGATAGAATCTAATCACAAATTTAAAACTAATGTGAGAGGGGAAAGCAATATATCACAGAGATTTCTCTTGTAATATTTAATTTCCTAGATAAGTGGGCAGAAACAATAATTTAGAAAGGAAGCTTTTCAAATCTGGCTGTTGTTGCCATTCATTGGCTCCTCAATGAAAGAACTACAAAACTACTGCCCTGTGCTTGGTGGGACAAAATGGTGTAATATCTCCACCTAGTGGGAAAATAAAATATACATTTATTTATTGCAATATAAAATTGATTAAGGATGGATTATTTTTAGAGGGAATGGATTTTAGGATGAAACCATGCCACTTTTTTCAATATTTAACAACAGATTATATTCTATATAAAACCAGGAAATGTTTAAGACTTATTTGATCTTTGGTCCTACAATAGAGGCAAATTTCATCTGCATTTCTTTCAGTGACAATGCCACATGTATGTAAAAGTCATACTGTTCCATAGTTCCTGAGTGCTATATCTCTATTTAATAATCTACATTCATTAATATTAATTATTAATATTCCATAATGACCATTCCAACAGTTCAACATTTATTTAATTTATCATTTCCAAAGGAAATATTATCTGAAATGTGAGGAAGTTGTAAAAGTGAGTTGTTAAACTGTGACCACCAAGGCTCTTGTTAGCTTTGTAGTTTATCTCTAAATTTTGAATGGCTCCTGCTAAGTAGAAACCTCTGTATAAATAGTATATGGCTTTGGCACCAAAATAGACAGTAGAAGAAGGAATTATCATTTATTTCTATCCCTTCATTAACTGTTGAAATGTCTTCAACAGTTAAGCCTGCAACGAACATAAAAAGATGGGACTTTGATCATGTGATTGCAGCAAGCAACTTATTTCTTTCTCTTTGCAGATGCCAGTACTTATAACCTGTTTAGGCAATCATGCAAGACCTGGAAACATTATTTTATAAATACTAAATAAATATTATGAAAAAATAAAATAATAAACTTGAAATTAAAAAGTATATTAAGAAGTGGAGGATGTTCAAGATAAAATGGTTTTATGCAAGGTTTGCTACACAGAAATAATTTTTGTTTCTAGAATATGGATTTAATGCAGAAGGAGGAGATTATGAAAATCCAGTTCTATTTATGGAAAAACTCATATGGCAGCTCTATCCAATGCAATTTGGCTAGAGATTAGAAACAGAAACGATTAGTTTCCACTTTCATTCAAAAATGAGATCCACTTGAATGCTAAAATTTCTTTTGAATTTTCAATAAGGCATCTTTGACAACAAAGATATTTAGCTCCCTATCCAAATCTTCCCTTCCACATATAAGTGCATTAAAAGTGTTCTGATCTGAGTGCCATTGGTAAATTTATTGATCTGGGGTCAGAAGGAAAAACCAAACAATCTGTATGTATTTAAGTATTTTAGTTTTGAACATTTTTAGTTTAGAAAAATTATACTTCTTGTGTCAATTATTTCCACTACATCCAATTTTTATAAATAGTTTATCCTTTGTTCTATGTCCAAAAAAGATATAACTAACATTACTTCTAATTGTTGCACTTCTAATTGCTTCAGTTTATTCTTCAATGTGTTGATTAGTTTTGCATGGCTTTCTTCTAGCTGATGCTAAAAAAAGTAGTCATGAAATAAATGGTTTGGCTGAAACCCATTATTTAATAAAATGATAGAAGGAATTAATTTGTTTGTAGAAGCTTTTCAGATGACACTTACATTTAACATTTTCTTGTAGTAAATTGTTAAATTTCCTTAACAATTGTTTATTTTGTTGATCTTAAAATTGTTGGATTATGGTCTGTGTAGATGAAAGGAACAGCTTCCACATTTATAAATTTGGATAAGGATGAAATGGAAAATCAACACATGTCTATTTTGAATACATTTTATGAGGAGATGAATAGTAAGTGTATTTATTTTCTAAAGTTCAATTGCATTGTTATATATGATAGTGACATATAGTCTAAATATTTTTGGATGCTTAGCATAAGTCCCTTTGAATAGTTCATGTTTATCTAAATTTAAGGACAAACAGATGTTCATATTTCCACAAATTAAAATATCTCTCCTGCAATTTCAAGAAATAATTGGATTTATTTTTGAGAGGCAGAGGAAATTTGACTATATTAACATTTGGAGTACATATTGAAGCAATTGTTTGTTCTTTTCTGAATGGACAGTTAAGTCTGTTGATGCTAGTTGAAAACATCTTTATATGATTCACAATGCCTCATATTAGATTAATTGATGAAGAAAGAACAGCCATTTGATCAATTCAAGGTGTTGGTTATTACCTTTAAAGCCCTATATGGCTTAGGGCCAGGCTATCTTTGAGACCGTCTTCTACCACATAGCTCCCAGCGACTGGTAAGAGCCCACAGAGTTGGCCTCCTCCGGATCCCGTCAGCTAAACAATGTCGGCTGGCCCCGGCTCTCTGGAATCAGCTACCTCCTAAGGCCCGGACCGCTCCCATCCTACTGGCCTTTCGGAAAATGGTGAAAACCTGGCTTTTCTGGCAGGCTTGGGGCTGTTGATCTCGCCACTGCAATCTTGCGAGATCCGACCATGAGCAGTGTGTATGGGGGTTTTTTTTAACGTTTTTTATTGTATATTCACACTGTTCTTGTTGTAAGCTGCCCAGAGTCCTCGGAGAGTTGGGCGGCATAGAAATATGAATAATAAATAAATAAAATTTTTGATGCCCAAAAGACTTCCAAGTGGAATGGAATATTTCATCTATACCTAATTTTTTTGTGCTGGATTGGGCTTTATAATAAAAATTTTCAGAATTTCCCAAGATGTTTGAATTGTTTTCCCCTCTGGAATCTTTTCCAAATTCATTGAAATCAGACTCTTAGACTCTTTTAAAGTTTAAGACACTAGTTTGATTTTGTTCTATTGCTTGTGTTGCATTATACTGAATTCCAATATGACATGGTCACTTTTCCCTAAAGTTCCTACAACATCAACCCACTCTATCATTTCAATGTTGTTAGTAAGAATTAAGTCTAATATAGCTGACCCACTAATTTCCTCTTCTATCTTTTGAGTTGTCAGCTAGGCTTGTCAGGAACTTGTTTGATCTCCCACTTGATGCAGTTTGTCTCCCAGTTGATGTCAGGGCAGTTAAAGTCCCCTATTACCATTTGCTTCGTTTCCAGCATACATTAATTAGCTGATTAGCAAAAAAGTTCATCTATTTCTTCTGCTTGGTTAGGTGGCCTGTAGTATATACCTCTGACAATGTCATTCTTTTTTTCCTTTTATATTAAATCATATGTATTCAAGTAGGCTTTCATCCTTGGTTTTATAATCAGATACCGCGGAAATATCTTTTTGATACCTTAATTAAAGTACATAGTTTTTCTTTAATTGAAAAGTATTTTTTCCAGCATTAAATGATGCAAGACATACTGGTATTTTGAAGATCTTGCACAAACTTTTAAATATGATATTTATTCTCATGAAAGTTGAAATAATCTTAGTGAAATAATTACCTATAAATCTTTATTTTCTAGTTCTTGGACTAAATAAATGTGAATAAATATTTTAGATAAAATCAGCATCTTTAAAATTATTTGATGCATTGCAATAAACCTTGGAATTATATGAAACATTATATAACACTATAAACCTAAAGATGGGCATATCTCAATGTAATTATAATTTTCTGTAGTACAATCCATAGTTAATTGAGGTAATATATTTACCAATGTTGAACAACTAACTTGTTGGCAATATTCAGGGCATGGAGAATCCATTTCTGTTATTCAGTCATAAATTTTCATGTAGTAAATAGTTTAATTGTGTTGTATCCAAAAATATTGTGTCTAAGTCAAATAATTAATATATACCCAGAATATTATAGGTTTTGAATATTGCAAATGCTTGTTTTAATGATGGCTAATTTAATCTTATTCTGGTTGTATTTCCAGTGACAGGAGGATTCATTTATAGCTTTTCTGTACAAATGCAAAACAACCAGTAATCCAAAATATTATTTAGCAATAGCAATAGCACTTATATACTGCTCCATAGTGCTTTATAGCACTCTCTGAATGGTTTACAAAAGTCAGCATATTGCCCCCAATAATCTGGGTCCTCATTTTACCAACTTCAGAAGGATGGAAGCTAAGTCAGCCCTAACCACTGCACCACCACTATGGCTATATTATTTTTGTTATATAGTAAAAATATTTAAAACATATATGAAATTGATTTATTAATAACAAATATTTATAAAGACTGATTACAGATTTTTAATCTCATAGGAATTGGTGATCTCACTTTATAATTTGGGTATCTGTAAGGCTGATAAATGCCACATGGTACCATGTTAAAAAATATTGCAATTGTAAATCCTACCACAGGGTTGCAGTTTACAGATGGTATTTTTCTTTTCACATATAAGATTTTCTCTCTCTCTGTGTGTGTATGTTTGTGTTTGTGTGTGTGTGTGTGTGTGATTTTTGCAAGATTTTTTGGAAATGATTTGCTATTGCCTGCTTTCTAGGGCTGAGAGAGAGTGGCTGGTCCAATGTGCCTAAGCAGGGCTGGAATTCACAGTCAATCAATTTCTAGCCTGATATGCTGACTACTATACCAAACTGGCTCTCTTAGAATGTAGCTAATTGAGAATGTTATAAAATGTTAGTTATCAACTACAGAACACTAGTAATAGTGAAAAATATCTAGATTCGTTATTTGTGCATGTTCCATATTTATTGAATGTTGGCTTTTCATTTATAAGTTAATATTTTTGGGAAAGGAAATAGGATTTAAAACTGTGAATGTGATGTTAACCGATTCATGAATAATATGGGTTTTTAAATTTGATGTATTAAAGAGACTGTTTTGTTAAGATGGAAAAATATTGTTACTCTGAATTTAAAAATTGAAAATATATGTTCACTCTCTACCTATGAACTGGCTGTATATTAGTTTATACATTGAACTGGGTGTGAAAAATTATATAAAAGCTATTATATTCTTAAATATTACTTTTTTATTGTATATATTTTACTTTTTCCTGTAAATTTTCTGTACTTAAGTTCTGTCCTCTCTCTTTCCCTCTGCTTGCATTTATATCTGTGGCTGTGTGTGTTTGTGTGAACCATATACATATACATACTCATTAATTATTCTTTAAAGGATATTTGCTGAATTAAACATATATACCTTGTCATCATCTTCACAAGTCATCACGTTGGAGAAGGGAATTTCAGCTTTAAACATTTTCCGACAATGCATCAGCTGAACTAAGAGGTAACAAACAGTCTTGAACTTCATTCTTTTGGCAGGCTTTATGTCAGAGAGAATAAGCCCTGGAAATATCTGGAAAGATATAGATACAAAGACATGTTTAATTTTTAAAATAAATTTATTAAGTTGTAGATCAAAATGCATAGAAATTCATCATATACTATCAAAAATAATTTTTCACAGAGCCAATCTCTTGACAGCATCATAGCATATCCAACTTAATTATAACAACAGCTCAGTTTAGGAAAAGAGATAATAATTGGTCCAATAGTATTCTTTATGTTTTCTGGCTAACTGAAGAACTGAACCCAAATTCTCAAATAATCAGGAATCAGAAATATTATTTACAATTTGTAGGAAGTTGTTCACCCGCATCCACTTTTACAGAAAAATTGACTATATAATCAAATAATAATAGCAATTACGTCACTAAAGGCCTATATCAGTAACAAATTATAGTATAAATAAGTTTATAATGACCTACGACATGTATGTTCTTAATTGCTTAGTACATCCAATATCATGTCTTGTTATGTTCACCAAAATCTGTCATTTCCTCTGAAATCTAATCCCATATACTGAATAATAGTCCCAGAATTTGGAACATAGCTCTCAGATAATATGTATCTCCAACAGCTTTATAATTTCTTTGGACCAAAGTTAAAGATATAGGCAGTTGCATTTGATTTTAATGCACTACATGGAGATGGAGATGTTTCCTTCTCCTTTACTGCTTGTTGTCTCCAAAGAAAATATATTGTGAAATTATAATTAGTTCAGAATATGGAAAAGGTGGAGGAGCCTGTTTACAGTTTTCTCACTACAATTTTCTTGATCTATATCTGTTCACGTAGAATAAGTATTCATTCTTACAAGTATTCGAATTACTTACCTCATCATTATTATGATTTATTTATTTATTTAGTTATTGTTCGTTGTGACAGTTCATGTTATAATAGAACTATTCATATTCAGAATGGAAATATTTTTTCCAAAAACAGTTTCAATTAACTACAAAATCCAATTACTCAATTGAATTCATTAGCTAAAACATTACCACACTTAATATACTAAGCTATACTATACTATCTCTATAGAGATGGGCTCAGGGCCAAGCTATGGAAATATATACGTATCTCTACTTGTTTTAATGGATCTATTTTAGGATAGGATAGGATAGGATAGGATAGGATAGGATAGGATAGGATAGGATAGGATAGGATAGGATAGGATAGGATAAGTGGTGGAATTCAAATTTTTTTACTACCGGTTCTGTGGGCGGGGCTTGGTGAGCATGGTATGGCTTGATGGCATGGCAGGGGAAGGATACTGCAAAATCTCCATTCCCAACCCACTCCAGGGGAAGGATAGTGCAAAATCCCCATTCCCTCCCCACTCCTGGGGGAAGGATATTGCAAAATCTCCATTCCCACCCCACTCTGGGGCCAGCCAGAGGTGGTATTTGCTGGTTCTCCGAACTACTCAAAATTTCTGCTAATGGTTCTCCATAACCTGTCAGGACCCGCAGAACCCCTGGATATGATAGGATAGGATAGGATAGGATAGGATAGGATAGGATAGGATAGGATAGGATAGGATAGGACAGGACAGGACAGGACAGGACAGGACAGGACAGGACAGGACATAATAATAGAGTTGGAAGGGATCTTCTAGTCCAACATCCTACTCAAGCAGGAGACTTTATACCATTTCAGATAAATGGCTGTCAATCTCTTCTTAAAAGCGTTCAGTAATAGAGCACTCATAACTTCTGAAGACAAGCTGTTCCACTGATTAATTGTTCTCATTGTCTGGCAATTTCTCCTTAGTTCTAGGTTGGATCTCTCCTTCATATGTTTCTATCTATTGCTTCTTATCCTGCCTTCAGGCGCTTTGTAGAATAGGTTGACTCCCTCTTTTTTGTGGCAGCCCCTTAGATATTGGAGGACTGCTATCATATAATCCCTAGTCCTTCTCTTCTATAGACTAGACATACCAACTTCCTGCAACTGTTCATGTTTTCCCCTAATAATGTTTGTTGGTCTTCTCTGCACTCAATATCTGTTTCATATTGTGGCAACCAAAATTGTGAATGCAGTATTGCAAGTGTCATTTTACCAAGGCTTTATAAAGTGGCATTAACACTTTCTGTGATCTTGATTCATGTGTATTTGATTTTGAAATTGATTTTCTTATCTATCTATCTATCTATCTATCTATCTATCTATCATAGATGATATAGATAGATAAAGATGATAAATCAAATAAAAAAAGAGTATTTAAAGACAGGTATGATCACAAGGAGACAGAATGATGATCCATGATACATAACAACTATGGTTTTTCCTATTTGCAAAGTGGTCCTATTCAGCCATCAAAGTGAAAGAAAAACATTGCTGTTCATAGAACTCAGATTATTACAGGTAATTTCATCTTAATCCTTTTATAACAATGTGATGAGATGCAAGAAATGACAAACTAGTCTTGCCAGTGTTCAGAACTTGAGCCAAAAAAAGAAATTTAGTAGTTACAGCTTCAATTCTTACACTTCAATAACATCTTGATCTGAAAAACTGCACCAGCTAAAATTCCATTTAGCACAGATGTTTAATATGCAAAACTCTTTTATTCTGCCAGACTACTTATTTTCTTTTGATTAGTAGCAGCTCCTGAAAGCCCCTTGGCCTGAACTTGCAAACAAAGCATGCAAAATGTCTAATGAGAGACATGCAGCACCACATCTGAATAAAATGATCTGGCTTTTTAGCATTCCATATTTTTCTAAATGTATACAATTAAAACTTTGTTTCACTTTTATAGAATGGCACACATGATGTTTGGGAGTACTTATACTAGTAGACTACATCTGGTGCAGTTATTTGTTTTACTGAGATTCAGCAATTTAAAAACTTAGACAATGTATTCAGATAAATTGTTTCAGATATTGACAATTTATTTTGTGAGGGAAGAAAAACCTGAATTGGTCAATGAGGTATTTAAAATTTAAGGAACACTGGAGCATTTTCTTAATAGCTGTAAAAGACTAATGACTAACTTTAAAGATATGTTGATTGCTTCCAGGGTCCAGCAACTTATTAATCACTGAGCCTCCTGAGGAAACTAGGAAAGGTCTTAGCCACAAGAAGCAGGGCTCATGGTATAGATCAGACCACTTTATTAGAATTCCGAAATTGAATTAATCTCAGACATCAAAGGGCATTGTTCCACTTACCATTTCACAGCCACACAGACCTCCCCCGCTACAAGGAATCAGTACTTTGTAAAAATGTATCACAATGGCTTGCAAAACATTTTCTAGTCTATCCTTATCCACCAAGGATTAGACAAACCTAATGTGATTGCTAATCAACAATATATTGATGCAGTAAAAATGCAGAAATACTAATGGTTTGGAACTGTTGTTATTACAGTATAGACATAAACATGCATGTTCAGTTATGTGTATTTTGCATCTCCCTTCACTGGTGCTATAGGTGTTGTCTTTTTTGGTTTTTTTGCTTCATCTCTGGAAGCGCTTGAGATTGGCAAAGGATCTCTGGTGCTCCACTTGACCAGACTCCTAAAAGAACAGCAAGTGTGCTGGGAAAACTTCTTAAGCAGTGACTATCATTGGACTGAGGATCTATCGCTCAATAAATGATTATAGAAAGTGAAATAGGAAGAAGATATTATAACCTTGACAGATATATTCTTTAGAGACAGCTCTATGAAGCGATTTGGAAACTACACCTGTTGAAATGCATCCTTTCATAGCTCAATATTTGCTCTGAAAGATAAAAGAAGCTCTTTGTATATGGATCATAATAGAACATAGAATAAAATTGGTTGGAAAAAAAGGTGAACGTTGGTGATAAGAGATTCAATTCTTAGGAGAACAGAAATATTGGTTGGAGGGGATATTGGAGGTCTTCTAGTTAAATCTCCTGCTTAATCAGGACATCCTATACCCGTGATGGCGAACCTATGGCACGTGTGCCTGAGGTGGCACACAGAGCCATCTTTCCAGGCATATGAGCTGTCTCCCAACTCACCTGCAGCTGTATATGTGCATGCGCCGCAGCTGGTGTTCGGGCCTCCGGTGTGCATGCGCACAGTTCAGGGGATTCAGCTGGTCTTCGGAGCTTTCCTGCACATGCAAGTGAGAGTACTTGCACGCAATGCACGCATGTGCAGATGGCATTTGTGCATTGTGCATGAAAACCATGTGCATGCGCAGATGGTGCGATTGTGCACACAATGCATAGGGGAAATGTGCGAAACATTTGTGCATGTACAAATGGTGTGATTGCACATGCAGCATATGGGGGAGGGGTGCGAAAGCCATGCACATGCACAGATGGTGTGGTTGCGCACGCAGTGCACAGGGGAGGAGCTGTGCATTAATGCGGATGGCACACATGCGCACAAAATGTGCAAAGCGCATACCTGTTTGGCACTCAGTGAGAAAAAGTTTTGCCACCACTGTCCTATACCATTCCGGACAAATAACTGTCCAGTCCCCTGTTGAAAACCTCTAGTGATAGAGTACTCAAAACTTTCAGAGGTAAGCCACTAATTAATTGTTCTCCCTGTCAGGAAATTTCTCAGTTCCAGATTGGATCTCTCTTTAATGATCTTCTGCCCTGTCACTGCGTTATTTTATTTGCCAGCTGAACTCATCATTTCTGGACTGTCAGACTCTCCGCAGCTTGCCAACTTCTTATCAGTAAGCTACGTGTTTCCGTATCCACCCACATTCCTTTCACTTGCTTCTCACACACTCTTTCCTTTGTTCTCTTGCCAGAGGTCCAGCTGGACCGGCAGGAGTTCTCGCTTGCCAAAATGTAACAATTTATCTTTCTTAGTTAGTGAGGTGTTTTATTTTCTTTATAACAAATAAATGAGTTTTATTAGAAACTTTTCTTCGCGTTTCTTTTTCAGAATATTGCAAACAAGGAGGAGCCACGATTCATCTCCTCTAATTAAACCAGGGTAATTAGTCCCAGAGCCAAACATGGGATTAATAAATGCCCTGACATCTGGTAGCACCCGGACGGTTGATTTATGGCTTT